GTCTTGTCCTGTCCTTGTGTCAGTAGCCAGCGTATAAGCAGTTTTTTTCATGCATCAAGCCTGTTCCATGTTCCTGAGTTTTAGTCTTAGTAAGTTTTGTTCCTCATACTGAGAGAATCTTTGTTGATACCTTTTTGGAAAATTATTTTTTGGTTGTATTTTCTCACCTCATTAAGAGTGTTGCTTTTTGCGTTGGTTTACTTATCCTCCTTGTGAGCGTCCTGAGACTTTTTGAAATTAAAGTATTTTGTTATACTTTACCTCTGTCTCCTGGAGTCATTCATTTGAGTCCAACTGCCTTGTGTCTGAAATTCGTAACAGCGGCGGATTAACCCACATTTGGTGCTCTAGTCTAGTGTGGCAGCATGATGCTGTTTGTGCGATTTAGTAAAAAGTCATAATAGACACCAATATAGAACTCAGCCCAAGTTTAAAGATACTGTAATTTCCCTTTAAGGTTCTTATCATGTTTATTGATATTGTTCTTTGGAAATGCATATCAGTATTCCTATAAACATTTACCGTAACCACCAACCAGGCTGCGGCCCATCTCCAGCACTGGGAGCCATGCTGATAAATCAGTGTTTATTGCACTTACTCATGAATAAAAGCATTTACATCCCACTGTTTGATTTGATGCCGTATAGTGTTTTGCCGCTTATTGTTAATAAATAATGTGACCTGCTGAGCGTATATTAAACATTACACAAGTCCATGCTTCTGATATAAGGTATAGTAATGTTAAGCCCTATACAACCTTTACTAACCTCATGAGTTTGCTAATGGTAGCTATTGTTTGCTTACTGCTAATGTTCTGTACAACAACAACAGCAGCCTTACCATTTCAGCCAATGTTTGAAAAATCACTATGTTAGCACACATTTGTTGCTGCTAAATGTAAAGTTAGCTAACATATAGTTAATCATATTGAAATATTAAGATATTATTGTTTACTTTGGTCTTATAAATGAAGGTTGTGTGGCTTTTTCTAAGAAAATGTAAGCTAACGTATCCTAATGATTGTCACTGGGGTGCACATTTTCAAAGATTGAGGCATTTATAATTAATATAAATACATTTAATATAATTAATAGAATACTTAATTTGATGTTTTGGGGGAAATATATATGTATATATATATTTTCTGATCCGGTTGGAAAAAAGACAGGATACAGGATGTGTAATACATAGATAAATATATGTAAATAAATACATTCAACAGATTTCCAGTCGTCAGCAGCATATTTACATATGTGTACAGAGAGGCTTTATGACCTGCTACAACCAAGCAGTTTACAGACAGGCAGGGAATTAGACATCAACTTCACTTCTGCAACCCTCAGCCAATTCAATCCCTGCTGTTTACAATCTGCCATGCCTTACATAACACACAGATTCCCAGGCCGAGCATCACACTGTGGGGAGAAACTGTAGTGAGCGCAGCAGGAGAAGAAAGAATTTTTTCATCCAGCATAAAGTCTCATGTCTCACTGAAAATTGAAATAGCTGACTCTCAACATCACAACGATCCCAGACATTCATCTGTGCTTGTGAATTGAGATTATTTATCAGGTCTAATATATATTACTTTGTTTTGTAAATGCATCAAAATCAAATAAATATATATCTAAATTCAAGTGGTACACAAATATACAAGAAAACAACTTGAATATTCTCTGAGATTATAAAGTCATTTGCGAGAAATGTATGAGTTTGATTCCATCTTGCAAAGTTAATCCGTATTACCAGACAAAAAATATATGTTTGATCTGATGTTTGTTCGGGGGGGTTATTTGTAACTTAAATCTAGAAAGAGAAACCAGATTTTCTTACTAAACTTTTCTCATAAAAATGCGAAGGTTTTTACCTTAAATGAAATGTCATGGAATATTACCCATTTCTTGTAAATGTATGAATTTGATCAGACTTTTTTAGTTTTTTAGATTAGAATCACATATTTTTGGGGGATTTTGGATGAATAATATATGAAATACAAGTTACAGTAGTTGTGTTTTAACAGATTTGTCCCTGTAAACTGTAGATGTTGTGCACATAGGTATTTTCTGAATCGTAACATTTCCTGTAGTGAAACGAATGTTTTAGACTACAGATATAAAATTATATTCAACAATGACAATATCATTATTATTTTATTTCAAAAATAAATGATGTGTTTAGTTTGTCTACTTTTGCTATTTTCCCATCTGGAAATACAATCATCTGTGGATATATATATATATATATCAATATGTCAATGTACACTTTATATTATTTTATATATATTTTTATAACTCTTAAAATAAATAACGATATGTGTCCAAATCACAGTTTTGGTTGTGTAGGGACTAAAAGGATGAAAATCCAAGATAATCTTTTGAATACTCAATTCATATTTGAACAGAAGTGTTTGTTTACCTGTGATGTATCGATTTTGGCTGCTAACACAGCCACTTAATGTCTGCTTTTCTTTTAGAGAACTTTAGCTCCGGGTTACTATTTTGAGTTATTTTCTCGATACAGTGCACATCCCCTTGAGACTTACATACAGCACATTTATGCAGTCAATTTTCAGAGGTCGGAGGTCAAAGCTTCCCTGCAGCAGCTTCCCCAAGGACACTGTTCCGTAGGAGCACATTAGCTTCTTGAGAGGGTTGACCTCTGACCTCCGGGTGATGGAGTTGTCAATCATGTGTTTGGCCCCAAATAAAAAAAGTACAACCCAAAGCCCTGCCAACAAACAGAGCTGTCCCTTTCCATGAAATATGGGAAAGAATAAAGTTTATGCATGACTGAAAGCCTTTATAATTAGCTTTATGCTCTAATATTTTTTTTATGGATGCATTGTGTCAATATTTGCCCAAAGTCCCTAAATATCTGTAAACTACTCATGTTAAAGGGGGGATTGTGAGGTGGGGGGAACTTTTTCTGGAGGGAACTTTGGGAGATTTGCCTTAACAGACCATTTACATGCTCAAAAACTTTTATAACACACTACAGGAAAGGTTAAACCCCAAATGGCATATCGGGGCCCCTTTAAATACTTCTGAATATATAAAGACAGTATAAACAAATACAATTAGACTTATACGAGAAACTTTTTCAAAGATTATTTCCCCAAACATCTCAGTCTTAGTGTTCAAAGTCACATTCATTAAGCTCTCCCAAACCCTGTCATAAATTGCCTGTTTCAGCCTGATAAATCCCACCTGTTCATGAGCAGGTGCACACTCGTACTGTTTGATCATTAACATGCTCGATGCCCTCAAATTGCTCCATTTGCGGGGACAGTCTAATTAACAAAAATGTCACCGAAAAAGAACTTCACACGGCAGAGCTTCAAGTCCTGCCATCATAAAAATGAGCTGACAATAAAAACCGAATTAAGCAGAAGCAGTAGAGGTGTTAGGGGAAAATGCCAAATATGGAAGAGAGAGGGATTTATGGTTTGAAGTCCAAACATGTTTTGCTAAATTAGAGTTCTCCTCAACACAAAGGCAGTCAAGTTGAAGTGTGGCACCTAATAAGAAACCTGCTTAAAAGTGTGCAGAACATTTAAATATGACACTTGTTGGTCATTCTGGTCTAAAATCAAGTTTCACAATTCAGTTTGTAATGATACTTTACGGCAGTCTGCATATACACTGTAGAGGATGTCAGATAGAATAAATGGATTACTTAAGTTTTCATCCTTAAACCTAAATGACGTAGTACACCAAACCATGATCTTTTTCCCGGTAGTTGTATTGTCTAAACCTAACTCACCTAACATAGTTGTAGGCAAATATTCACACCTGCACTCATACAGTGCATTATTAGAGGACAGCAAAATGACTGAGGAATCCGTTTCCACAAACATCAATAACACTTAATCAACATTAGTATTCACAGTTTACGACCTAAATAGGGCATGGCCTGGACAAGACCTGTTTTAAAGTGCTATGTGTAGTATTTTGTGTTTTAACAGATCATGCTTCTTCCTTTTAATCAGTCCCTCTTTGCTCCGGAAAGCCAAAGGGAGAATGAGAGACAATATCCAGAGTGTAAAACTTCAGTCGAGTAGCTAACAAAGTTACAACATTCAATCTCTCAGCATTCAAAAACTACAGCTCCCATTAGTTCTACCTGCATGCATTACACCTCATCGCAATTTTTGATTTCTCTCTTATCCAAGATATTCACCAAGACTATCATCTAATGTCATCTTTCTACCTTCAAATGTAGCTTTAAAACAAATATAAAGTAGCACTAGCTTAGAGGGGCTAATGTTAGATATTCCTGTGTAACTTCACATTATAACGTTTATACTGTAACTAGCATCCATTTTATTCCTGCTTTTCGCCAGAGTTACAAATGCCCTCTTTAGTTCATCAAAATGGTTAATATCATAGTGAGAATAAATGTCTGTTCCCTTGTTTCTTGTTGTAAATATTTGTCCTTGTTAATATTTCAAATTTAAGCTGCTATAATACAAGAAAAATGTACACATTATCTGCCAATAAAGTATTATCATATCCTATAAAATACTACACATAGCACCTTGAAATATACTGGAACACCTGTTTTACGTCCACAGAGAATCTTAATTCCCAGATCTGAAAGTAAAAAATCTCTCAAAATGTTTCTCACACTTAATGGTGATTTGCATTTCATATAATAAGTACATATTTGTCTAATATTCTTTAAAACAATTATTTTGTTAAAACTTATATGAAAGGGAATAAGGGCCGCTGTGCTTTTGTTCTACACATAACTCCTTGAGATATGCTGGAGAACTTTCCATCTGAGAAGTATCCTAATTCCCACACCTCTGTTTTTCACACTTTATATTAATTCTCATTTAATATATAAAGAACACACCTCTCTAAAGTTAGTTATTACAACTACTCTGTCCCTTCTTGTCAAGTTAATCGTATTCATCTAATAAGGTATGCTTTGCTTTTGTGTTCGGTGGCAGAACACCCGGACAGTTCGAACCAAAAGAAGCTTTTCCCCCCCGATACTCAGCACTGCTCCTCCCCCAGCGAGTCTGTGTTCTCCCCCAGGTCTATGGAGGCTGACGTGGCTCTCTGGCCCCGTCCTGGACCAGAACCCAGCCCTGGTCCCGGCCCTGGACACGGCCCCCCGACTATGAGCCCGCCTCTGGCTCCGCTGTGGCCAGGGTAGACCTCCACCGTGCTGGAGATGGACTGCATGGAGCGGTCCCGAAAGTAGTGGAAGGCCTCCTGGTCCAGGAAGTTCTGCTCCTCGCGCAGGCCCTGCTCGAACAGCTTGCGTTTGTGCCTGAACTCGATCACCGTCTTGGTATAGGAGTTGAGCGTGGTGACGGAGGCAGCCATGCAGCAGGTGAAGGAACCCCAGGCCATGCTGGAGGGACAGAGACACGTCTGCTTTCAGAAGACTACTAACTTATGATCATCAAACAATGACAAGCCAGGTCATGGTTTTAAAGATGTAAATTTAAGATGTAAACATTATTTTTTTCTGAAATCAACATCCACTTAATAGACAAGACAAGAGCGTTTCACATAACATTTAATTTAGACTTTTTTATCCAAAGCAACTTAGAATAAGTGCAATAAACCATGAAGATATACGTGAAGATCTGAAACGATAAGTTGGTTCATCTATTAACCAAAAAGGACGGGGAAAGTGGCAACTCATTGTATATGTAGAAATAGGGAAGAATTCCGGTATTCTCAGATATACAGTATGCCTATTCAATGAGAGTATTTCCTGCCTGTTTTGGTCATATATCTTTGCAAAATAATATTTTTGGAGTTTTTGACATATCAAAAAAGATATCATGTTTAGATCTATGCAGTTGTTATTGTGATTTTCAGCGTTACAAAAACAGTAAATAATGGGTAGTTGCAGCCCTAGTTTAGACGAAAGTGTAAATAGCAGTAATAATAATAATAATAATAATAACTGTATTTGTATAGCACCTTTCATACAGGGGATTGCAGTTCAAAGTGCTTTACATCAGTAACAAAATAAGACATAAATCAGTGTAACACAAGCAGCAGGAGTAAAGCATAAAGTGGGATAAAATAATTAAACATAAAAACATGGGGAATAAAACATAGAGAAATAGTGCAATGTCAATCAGAGAGAAATAGTGCAGTATAATAGTCTAAAGTCAGTAAAATGTTTTGACTTTTAAAAATGTTTAACGTATTGGCTTCCCTAATATTGTTGGGTAACGTGTTCCACAGTTTTGGGGCGTAGTTTACAAAGGCTGCATCACAGTAAAACTATTTCACCACCAATATTTTCAAATATTGAGTTTACCAAAGTAAGAATTAACTTTGTAGTTCAGCTTTAAACAAAGTGCGGATGATTGGCCCCTATGGCTTGTTTCCACATAGCCTCTTTTACTGACCACCAGCATCTTTCTTCTATTGTTTTCAGTGAGGAGAAAGGACTCAAAGACTCTTTGTGGACACAGACCCTTCAAACACTCGGTGCTCTTCTCTAAAGTGCTCTGTCCTTGAAGCAGCAGTGAGCTCACACAGCAGCTGCAGGTCTGGTTTACCTTCCAGCAGAGAGCAGTGGAGGTCATGGTGTCTGGCTAATTATCCCAGAAACACCAGTCATGGAGTCCCTGTGTTCCTCCACACACTCCCTGTGTTGCTCCACACACTCCTGCAGCACAACACCTGCAGCCCCCATCCTGGAGAGATGATTTATGATTGACTGCATGGAGGGGTGGTAACCCTGTGTCCAATAAAAGTACGTATCCATACGAATAAACTGTACTCGATCAAGATTAGATGGATAACGGGTCAAGTTAATCCACTTTGTGTGTAATGTATGATGTGCTGTTAAGTTAATTGAAGCAGAATTAGTTAGTGTGTAGTACAGTTATAGATGTTACTACAAGTACATGTAGTCAGGTACACCATTTTTGTGTATTTCAATTTTATGTAACTTTATACTTCTAGTTCATTACATTTCTGAGGGAAATATTGTATACTTCGTTACATTTGTTAAACATTCAGTTAAATCTTTACATTACAAAAACACATACTGATGATATAATGCAGTAAGTAATTAAAATTGTCTCTATAAAGCCAAAATTCAACTTAAAAGTATTATTTTATGAAATCAGAATCAAAGAATAATACTGTATTCTATAATAATAATCCACATTTTGTTTTGAATATGTTTACTTTTTGAAGTACATTTTGCCGATAATACTTCTGTAATTAAGAAACTTCTTCTTTTTTTTTACCAATTTTTTACTTTAATATCCTACTATTGTCTTCAAACACCTTACATTACATATTATATAGCTGAAATTGTTATCAAAAGAGACTTACATGCACTTTAATAATGTAGTAATGCCTATTTTGGGGTAAGATATCTTGCTCAAGGAAACTGTGAAATGTTAACTGCAGGGGGTGGGATCAAACTGTAGGCTCCTTGATTGGTAGATCATCAAGACCCTGCACCCCAGTCACCCCTAAGTACCACAGCTGGCCCTTATGTCAAGGAGACCAGGCTGTAATCGGACACCATTGTTCATTCTTCTAACACCACAGGTTTGATCCAAATTAGAGGTATACTTATGATGTGTTTGTGTGTGTGTGTGTGTGTGTGTGTGTGTGTGTGTGTGTGTGTGTGTGTGTGTGTGTGTGTGTGTGTGTGTGTGTGTGTGTGTGTCTGATCCAGGCATGTCCCAATTTGTCATGTTTTGTTCACAAGTCCTGAGCTATTCTATAAACATGTACCGGTATGTGTGTGTGTGTGTGTGTGTGTGTGTGTGTGTGTGTGTGTGTGTGTGTGTGTGTGTGTGTGTGTGTGTGTGTGTGTGTGTGTGTGTGTGTGTGTGTGTGTAACCGCAGCGTCCGACGTGTTTTTGCTGTTTACGCCGACTTCAAAGCAGTGTAAATTACATTTACTCTGTAATGCTTGCATCATTATTCCTTCTCTTTATCATTAGCAGTGTGTGTGTGTGTGTGTGTGTGTGTGTGTGTGTGTGTGTGTGTGTGTGTGTGTGTGTGTGTGTGTGTGTGTGTGTGTGTGTGTGTGTGTGTGTGTGTGTGTGTGTGTGTGTGTGTGTGTGTGTGTGTGTGTGTGTGTGTACTGACCAGAAGGACCAGCCGTAGTCCCAGCTGTGAGGCCTCCAATCCTCTGGACCCAGACTGACTGTGATCTGAAACACCTGAGTGTACATCATGTGGGCCACCATACCCAAGAGACCTGCAACACAAACGCACACAGAAGTGTAAATATCCAAACATTAACCTGAGACATTGAGGCTTGACTTGTCTGAGCAGTTGCTACGTAAAAGCAGTCAACCTGTTATCACAATGGTTCAATAAATAAGTCTATATATAAAACAGTGGTTCTTTCTGTTAAATTAAAGTAAGCTATATGATGTGATGCATTGCAATTTGGTTCATTACCCATGTTCCCTTCAGGATAACAAGAAATAACTTGGGTTTAAAACTAATAAGTCTTTCACTGTCCTAAATATGAAATATTTATGTTGGCCTCTTTTATGTGATGCAGGTTTATTAGTCTTTTACACACACATAGACAGGCCAAAGAGTAATGAAAACCTACAAATATTTGAGGGTTGGATCAAAATGTTAAAATAGCCGGATTCTGATTCTGGTTTGGGACATTAGTTTAGTAAGTCATGGTTTGTTTAAACTAAGTATAATTTGCCACAGATCAGAATTTCTAGATCACAGTAATTGGTAAATGCTCCCCAGAGGATGAACCTGACAGATTTTTTAATAACCCTATCCACTCTCCTCTTGCACCAACATCAGGGATTACATTATTAGCCCCTCCCTTTCAACACTTTAAACTAATGCTGCTGTACACCCTCAGTGTGTTTCCTATTTCTTAGATAACAAAAAGATAATCTGCCTGGATAATTACAATTAACCGAACATCAGTAAATCACTTTCGCTATTTGCAGCTCAACATATTATCAGTAATAAATCAGAACACATGTAAAGTATTATAATTAGTCATTATACGGCACCAATTGATTTAACATGAGACACCCAATCAATTAGAAATAGGGTAACAATCGCTCATAATCATACAGTAAATCAAGACAGCAATAAATGCAAATGAGGAAATGAGAGAAATGAATGAAAATGAAAATCTTTCTTTCTTTGTGTGTGTGTGTGTGTGTGTGTGTGTGTGTGTGTGTGTGTGTGTGTGTGTGTGTGTGTGTGTGTGTGTGTAAAAATATTTTCTTCTCGACCTTGACTCGTGTGTGTGTGTCACATGCCAGTAAGGGTACATGGGTCTTCTGCTTTACTGGATGTTTTACAGTATTCATTGTAGCTTTGATACTACCCGTCAAAAAAATGTATTTCCAAAATTATATTTAAAAAGCAGGTTGACGTCATCATGCTTGGCCAACACCACTAGGCTTCACTTTTTACCATTGTGACAACTACTTTAGCATCATTTTTAAACATGCTTATTGTCCACTTGGTAACTCAAGAAAAAGTACTATATCATTATGCTATATGGTTTCCCTTTCCTGTAGTGTTGTATTGGTTTTTGTGTATATGAATGGTCTGCAAAGGCTAAAATCCCAAAGTTGAGAGAGTTGCTCTCCCGCACACTGTCATGGGTGAAAAGAGGTAAAAAAAATAAAGAGCTTTTTGAACATGTCACAGTAGAGGCACAAAATAAAAATATGAACCTAAATTAACATAACCTTTACATTGAGGTCAAGATAATTGTTTCGCTTGTTGTGAAAAAAAATCACTTCACACACTTAATTAATGATGTAGTGTTTATCATGTTTTAGTTATAGTGCCTGTAAATGTGCTTTAATGTGAGAAAAAGGATAGCCGTTTGCAACATGGTTGAAATGGAGCCAACTTCTTGTATAAGAGGTTTAACATGAGTTGGGGGAAGAAATCCTACAATCCTACACAGCGACAGCTTCCAGGGGATAACCTCTGACCATGGGCGACCTCTGACAAATCTCCAACTACTTATCCTCATGTCTGAATGTGTTCAAATAATACGATGTGCACTACTTCCCCGGAGGAACGGCCATAAAAGGTTAAGAGGTTTCGCATGTCTTTTCAGGCGTCCCATCTTACCCGACAGCACGGTGAAGACGGCGGCGAAGGCGTTGAGTTTAAGTCCGTCGATGACGTTGTTTGAGTGGAAAAGCTCGAGGCACATCAGACTGAAGCCAACCACCAGCAGCAGGATATAGAGCACCTCGGACACCACCGACAACCACAGCACACCTGCAATACACACATTGCATATTGCAAAAGCATTACACAAAAAGCAAAACAAATAGCTTCAGGCTAAAAATACAGGGTGAGTATTGATAACACAATGGCAGAGGACTATTTGGCAATATTTCGGATTAAAACCCAATGCTTAGGTCGGTAGGTAGTAGCAACCTGAAAGCGATGTGGTAATCTGTAACTTTTTTGGTTAAGATCAGTACGCGCTGTACAGATATCAAGAGTCAGCTAACCCTACTGAGTTCTCGCTTTAAAACAGGTCAGAAACATAAAGAAATTATCCATAAAAGTAAGTTATCAAACATTTTTTTTGAGTTGAAAAAACTTTGAGAAAACTCTACTTGGTTTGCGGGAATTTGTGGCATCAAACACAAACATTGAAATATTAATACAGAACTCAAGCGAATGAGATAAAAACAGACTTCACACATTTAAAGGGCATAGATCCCAAAACACACACACACACACACACACACACACACACACACACACACACACACACACACACACACACACACACACACACACACACACACACACACCTTTGTACCTTTGTACATCAATTACAAACTAAATAACACATCTAAATGTAAGATTTTACATGAGTAATACAAACCTGAAGTTATCTGTCTCCTATAATCTTCTATGTGACCTCAATGACTGTTCAAGTGATAATTTGAACAAGTCAAAATAGAGCTTTTTAACAATGTGCTTAGTTACCACCTCTTAAATCCACCAACAATGGATTGCCACTCATGGGCAATGGGAAGCTTTTTAAGTTTACTTTTATGTGAATACAAAACCATAGTGAAACAAAAATGCCATTTGACAATCAAAATAACTACATTTCACATATGTTTCCTATTGAATCACAACATTTCAAATGCCATTAAGTGTTTATTTTCCATTCTTTGTAACAGATCACTTTGAGATCGTAACAGAGATTGCTGTAGTGTAAAGTAAAAAACAATGTTCCTTACTGCATGGCTTACATTACATTGTTCTCAAATGATAATCTTAAGTAGGAGTGTGTCTGTATCAGGCGTTGTCTTCCAGATGACACACAAAGGGCAAAGGGATAAAAACATCAAACTAAATGCAGCAATGACTTGTGGGACAACGCTCCTCTTATTCAGACTTCACCATGTTTCCCTTTTTGCTCTGTGTCGCTCTCCAAGGTATGCCCACTGATACAGAAGTTAACTAAGAAACACAAAGTTGTGCTGAAAGAGTTCCTTGTCTTGTACTTTGCAGACATCTGAAGCAATTCACTCATCACTCAGGGAGTAAAGCCACCACAACTTGCTGAAGAGCCAGGAGATTTGGAAAGAGATCTGATTCAGAGGCATCGAAGCATAGATGTGAAATTAAAGCACATCATATATAGTTGAGGGAAAAAATATATAAATTCAGAATAAACTCTCTTATTGGCAGCACTTTTGTGTGTTTAAAGGGGCCCTATTATCCAAATGTCAGGTTCATATTTCTACTTTCGGCCTCTACTGTGACATGTTTACATGCTTTAATGTGAAAAAAGCTCTTTATTTTTCTCATACTGCCAGTGCAGCAGCTCCTCTTTTCACCCTCTGTCTAAAACCAGAGCCCAGTCTGCTCTGATTGGTTAGCTGGCCGGCTCTGTTGTAATTGTTCGGCCACTTATGGCGCATTTCCACTACAGCGCGGAGCGCGGTTTAAGCGTGCCGTGCCCGTTTTTGGTTGCGTTTCCACTAGGCGTGGTTCCGGCTAGCAGGGTACTTTTTCACAGTTTTCTGGCTCTCCAAAATCGAGGTTCTTTCCGGGCCAAACCGGGCTGAGTATGCTAAACTAGTGAGAGAATCGCTGGCAACTACAACAAAATGAACATATTTTTACCGTGATTTAATTGTAATACACGTTTCAAAATGATGCCGAAGTAACAACATACTGATACCGGTTAGTAAAAACCATGAATTAATGCTTTGACAAGTCTGTAGACAGACGGCATACGAAAAAACGTCTAAAATGCTTTCAAAATGGAGATTGGCTAAGCTAACGCAGTATATGCTCCGACCGTCCACACTCACAACAACGGCCTATACAGACATAAATAAACCAGCGACTGTATTCGCCATGACACAGACAGTCTGTGGTTTGTACTTTTGTCTAGTTTCTGAACAGATATGAGGAGCTGTGAGCACTGAGGGCTAACAGCTAGCGGCTGATGTTGGTTTTGTGTTTCGCATTGAAGATGACGTCACGGCTCCTACACTGCATTACTATAGTTACTACCCCAGTTCCTAAACTGTAATGGAAACGCAGCATAAAGTGAGCCTGGCCTACCAGGGCCTAACTATACCGTACTAAGCCGTGCAAGGCCCCGCAGTGGAAATGCGCCATTAGAGAGGCCCCGTCCCTTAGCTTATCACGTAAAATGTGTTGGAGCGCTATAGCCAATAGAAGCGTGAGTGTTACATAGTGATGTCATTAAGGTGCTGTTTACACGAGAACGCAAATGGTTGTATCCGCTACTTTTGTCTTTCGTATAGCCCGTTCGTTCACACGAGGCCGTAACGGAAACGCGGAAACAGACCCCGCAAACAATAACGGGTCCCAAGGACGCCCTATACGATCATTTCCTGATAACGATGAAGCCCCACCTCTCCCCACCTCTGCTGCTCACTGCTGTAGCATGGTCAGTAGCTACTGTCAGTAGCTAACTGCTACTGCTACTGACCATGTTACAGATGTTAGTGCAAAATCTACAGCTCCTCTACCACAACCATCAGCAACAAGTGGACGTGG